TTTATTTACGGCCTGTCCCACAACTGTCTGATAGAGGCTCAAATAGCTTAAAAATGACGTCACTGTCAGATAGAAAACTAAATCCGATATTTCTATCATATATTTTACACTGGATTGTTATCAGACAATTATAATTTGGTGGGATGGGCCCTTAATGTTATTAAAAATCGTTAGTAATTCATTTAAACTATACTTTTAAATATTTTAAACACTTAAAAATAATAAATGTATTATAAATTGAACCGCCTTTTATCAGAGTTTGTGATTCGAGAAGTTGGTCAAATTAGTTTAGTTCAATTCGTATTTTATCTCTAATGAAATTAAAAAAGAATTAAAAAAAGAAACATGGCTTATGTTACTCACTGATAACGTAGCTTTATAGTGGTGAAATAAAATGAAAAAAAAAAAACCTACAGACGAATCGAGTACCTCCTTCTTTTGGGAAGTCGGTCAAAAATGAAATCGAAGCAATGGTTTTTGAGTTAATTCAATATATATTGAAATCCAAAAATATAAATCTTTCCTCTTTACAATAGTGTAAATATAGATAATAATGTCTTTTCTATTCCAGATATTTCCCCTAAGTTTTCGAAGAGAGCGGACTTCCAAGTCCGGTGTAAAGGTAAGTAAGTTAATTTATTTTTCATCATACAATTACCAAAGATCTTGTAATTTTAGAAAGAATTCTTCCACTGACAGGTACAGATTTCAATCGTAACAAAATACGGCATTCAAAAAATATTAAAATCACGTAACTCTAAATATACTAGGTATATGTCGAAATTCCGCATAACATAAACATTGCTGTAAATAATTATATGTTATTCATGTAGAACACGGCATCATTAAATTTATTTGCGTGTATATCAAATTTGTTTTGAATTGTCTGTCCGACAGTACATTTATTATTTTCTATGCTACTATACTATTATAATAAAGCGTAAACACACACTTCTTTGTTGCCTAAGATGTCAGCTATCACAGCATATTTTTGAATAATTCTTTTTTTTTAATATAAAGCCCTACACTTCCATCACGCTTTAGGCTATATATTATAATGCCATTAAACTTAGGGGGTAAATATTTTGGATAAAAACTCTAATGTGGGAAAAAGAACTTAAGTTGCTGCCAACATCAAGGTAGCAAGGTTGTCATCATGTCATGTCATTTTGACATTTGTAATTGATAATTTGACAAATTTAAACAATAAAATAAAGTTTTTATAATTTCATGCGCGTGAAGCCGCACGGGAAAAGCTAGTGCTATAATATAAACATTACATTGTTATAACTATCGGTCATGGTGTATTTGAACGGAGTATCCAGGGGGGTCAAGGGGTTCTTGGAATCAAAGCTGGATCCGCCCTTGATGTATTTAAATACTAGCTTTCGCCCGACTCCGTCCGTTTGGAATTTCAAATACAAAAGTAAATGTGTGTATACCAAACTATGCTCTAATTCTATGACAAATTTCATCGAGACCTGTCCAGCCGTTTAGGCGGCAAACTCTAACAAACATTCATCAATCCATCTAACCTTTCGCATTGATGTTAGTAAGAAGTAAGACAGAAGACTGAAATTATCAAGATTGATTTAAAACACAAAAGTCTGTGTGTATATGTATGTGATAAAGCCATAAAGAGTGGGATATTAAAGAGTTTTTTATGTAAAAATTAACGGGTAATCGCAAAGAACGTTTCTACTGGGCTCGCCTTTTTATACTTTCAATACCAGCTCACTATATGTCCTCACCGAGGGGCTCGGAGCCTACCCTAAATTAGGGTGATTAGGCCATAGTCAACCACGCTTGCCCAGTGCGGGTTGATCGACTTCACACATATCTATGAATTTCTTCGCCGATATGTACAAGTTGCATCACTTAATACTTATTAAGCTACAATTATTTAACATTTCCGTTAACGATGTAAATAATTTTAAATTAAATATATAAAGACGGGCGACATTAATAGTGTAGTTGTCGACACGATATGTCGTATTCGTAATAATTTATTTCTAACGAGCAAGTTGACCGATTTCCATCCATTTATTACAGCATTAAACAATGTTATAGCACTTTTAAAGTTAATTACCATTACGAAATTGGGTTTAAGCTCTTTAACAATGTATGAAACTTTACTCATATTACGATTATCGTTATTTGATATCCAAACATTCTAAAAAGAAAAGTCCCCAACAAAATAGCGGTCCACAACTCACTATTTAAGACCGGAAAACTGTGTTTTTTTTATTTTTACATTAATGTGGCTCATTTCTGATGAATTTTAATGTTGTAAAATATAATTTATTTAATAATTCCTGTACCCTTTTGATCTTTACCGCTTGTTTAGATTAAAAAAAAACATTTAATTTTATAGAAATTTTAATAAGACTAATCTTTTAACTGACATCCGCTTTAAAATCTGATGTTTCATAAAAATTAGGTCACCAGTTTTTTGTGAGGTAAAAATAGTAGCTTTCTAATAATTATTACTAATTTTACTTTAAAATTCACTGCAGTTAACATTTGCGACATATTCAAAACAGTCCAAAACAAACGACAGTCGACAAGCGGCGGGTAATCGCTGGAAAATGTCCGGTCCAGAATAAACACAACTATTTGAATGTCTCGCTTAACTGAACTCTATTTCTATTTTAGGATATTCAACTAAAATACTAAATCTAGATTTAGCAGTCTATAGAAAGTCTATACGACTATCGATGTTTTAGGACTCGAGGTATTCAGTGGAACTAAAGTAATGATTTTTAAACTTAATAACAAGTACAATTAGTCAAGTTATAGTTATTTCCAGTAATCAATCAACTTAAGGGCATGTAGCAACCACCTACTACATTTACAAAAGCCTCTCAGCTACGCACTGAGTGAATCTACTTAGACGTGTGTAAATCAGCTCCGGTTAGTTTAGTTGTTGAGCTGCAACTCATCTAAATTAGTAGCTCACGACTCAACGCATTGTAACTATACCAATGACAATTGACGAGCGGTGAACTGTGTGACTCGAAACTCATCATATCATACCTCAAATTGATTTACAAGTCGGTTAACTGATCTATTTCATCACAGTGAGCTGTGAGCTGATCTGGTCATTTTAGTTACCCAAGGTTACGTAGAGGTATCATGTTTTTCAACAACATTCGTTTACGCTCTCTCCGTATATCTTTCTGCGTGTTTGTTTTGCGGCAGAGCAGATAAATCTCTTTACAAATCTAAAACGGTTACTACTTGTTAATGAACGCATTCCAATGATCTAGGTACTGTACGATTTCTTTGCTCTAGTTTTAAATTTACTTCTGTATTGTTTTAATACCTATAGTTCAAATGTGTATCTATACTATCTATACTAATAATATAAAGAGGAAAGATGTGTATTTTTGGATTTTTGTATGTAATTGATTAACGCAAAAACTACTGAGTCGATTTTGAAAATCCTTTCACCATTAGAAAGGTAATTTATCTGTGAGTAACATAGGCTACATTTTGTATTACTCTTCTGTCTGCTATTTTAAGTAAAATAATAAATGGTATAATTTGGAATTTAATTTCTGTCATTATTATTAAATTATTTTCATATACCATTGTGTTTGTTGTCAAATGACAAATTGACAATAACTTCACACATTTCTATGAATCATCGGCTAATTTCGTGGTTTATTTTCAACGTGTGCCTACGCCCCTTGTCAACGCCTGTCGTGATGAAACTGGAATCTGGTGTTAACCTGCCATAATATATTTAAAGCAGTCTAATAACGTAACTTTGAAATGAATGAAAAACAACGCAGGGTTCCCTAAAATTTTATTCGCTCTATTCTTAATTTTTCCTCTATCATGTTTTAAAGCCCAAAAAAGTATTGCTTAAATATAGTAAAAATTGTTATGTAGAACACAGTCTGAAAGAAAACAGGCTAGTTACTTCACCTAGTTAGTTAGTTTAGAGGAGACCTGAAGATCACATGGTCAAATCAGCCTTAAACATGCCGACGACGACGCGAACTCCATGAAGACCACTTACCACTTGGCAGACGACGGTCCAAAAGGATATGAAGGAAATAAAACTTGACGAAGCAGCCTCTAAGATTCGTGCTGTCTGGAGACTTAGGACAAGAAAGGCCAACCCCAAATAACTGGGTTACTTACTTTTAAATTAAGCGAAGAGGAAGTCGCCGCCTAAAGCTAGTATCTTAAAAAATATACAGAACCCAAAAATATGGCTATTATAGTTCGATACGTTCCAGATGAGAAAATATATTTCTGTCCCAGCCAAAATAAAAATAAAATTTTTCCGCAAGCGACTAACGCTGTCTAAATAAAATAAATGTCAGCTTAAATTTATTATAATATCATTTTAACGCGGTACTTTTCGCAATTTAATTGGTGCCATGTGTAAATACTGCATTGTAAATTACTAATGTAGGGTAGCATTGTTTTAAGAAAAAAACAATACATTTCCAGATAAAAGTAACAAAGACTTTCTTTTAATCCTCATTTATTATCATCATCATCATCATCATTTTCAATCTATCAGACGTATCCTACTGAGGGACTGCACAGTATGTCCTCTTTCCATACATCTTAGTGGTAGAGCCCGCTTTAAGATATTCTCACGAAGGTCGACTCGCCCGGTGTAATACCACGAACACACAGAAGACAGTCGTGAAGTGGGAGCAATTCCACGTACAGTCTGATGAGTGTGGTGCCCACGTTCCTACTTTAGTCCCTTTTCCTTCCCACTCTTTTTCTTATAAGTATAGGATAGGAAGGGAACGTGGATTTGTCGGTGGTTTAGACGTTTAGGAAGGGGAAATATCCCCATTATGTGCGTTTCCTCCACCGTTGATTAAGGGTTGGCACCGCATCTGCTATTGCGAATGGGCAGCGGTCGCTTCGCCATGTCTGCGGTTTCAGGTGGCCGCTTGCTCGTTTGCCACCTTCTGATATAAGTCTCTATCAGCCATTTTATCTAAAATCAATTTTTTACTCGCATTATTATTCAAACAATCTAGTAATCCTGGACTTCCTTTTTTACTTTATTACGTAACTTCAACTACAGTTGGAGCATAAACGTATAATTTAAGCACAAATTTTACTGAAACATCAATAATTATTGACCTGAATAGAGACGTTTTTGGTGCATTACATCATTACCGAATTGTTTTGACTTGAACCCCGCAGTACATGTTATTGTTTGGATCGATACACTCAAAATATACTGGTTTTGAAACGTATGAACTAGCGTCGAAAGCTTGTAACGATAATTGAAACTTGTACATACCTATTGTTAGGATCAAAATTATTACCGTGTTATAGAATTGGCGCAACTCTAGATTGTCGGCATAAACGTCACATCCCTAGCTGACAGTTGTCAATGTCACTAGAAGTATGGATAGATTGGCGCGCATCGATAGTCTGGCGAGAAGTATTGCTCTGAGTTTAAAGCGACAGTATCAATTAAATAAGTTGTCTAACACTATAATGGTACAATGGGGTATGCTACCGGTAGTACGATTAGAACAGTACTCATTTGAACTTCTTTAACTTTTTTTTATAATATAAGGTGGCAAACGAGCATGCGGCCACCTGAATCCACCGAAATGGAAAGCGACCGCT